GCAGTATTATATGAGCAACTTGAGAAGCACAGTTATCAGAATGTATAAAACAGTAAATGATAACGGGGAGCATATACATATACTGAATCAAACAGCCAAAGAGACTGACAAATATAGTCAGAGGTTCTTCTGGCCCTGATGTACTGACTTTGCCTTCACAGGATTTTGTGGACACTGTGTTATATCTAGATACTACCAACCTCTTGGTCTTCTCTCTCCTCTTGTCTGCTGACTCTTTAAGCTACTATGTGAGTCTAATCCAGGGGCAGCCTGAGCTTCATAAATTCAGTTAATCCCAGAGAGAAACCTACCGTTTTCACCGAGTCACTCAAAGCTTCCCACTGCTGGAATGGCATCGATATCTGGCTCCTTCGCCAGTGGTCATAGCGGGCTCGACTTGCTCCATTAGTCAAAATCTCCTTTGCCTTCTGCAGTTTCTGAAAAGTCTCCACTAGAAAACAAATTTTAAAATAAGCACTACTTTCCCAGAGGAGTTATTTTTAAACTCCCATACAATCAAACTGAAATATGTCTCTGTTATTTACCAGCTGTGTAACCTTAGGCCAGTTCACTTCATCAAGCTTTAGTTTCCTCATTTGTAAAGTGCATCATAAGGACAAGTGAGATTTTGTACATAATGTACCTGGCTCACTGTTCAGCCACTCCCTTTACTGAGCTCCAGTGATGTGCCAGGTGCTCTCCCAGGTGCTGATGACACAGATGTGAACAACAGACATAATCTACCTAACAGGATAGACATATATAAACATTGGAAAAATTACAATCTTGTCTACTAGGAAGAAAACTACCTTTTCTAGTGGTAGTGTGATAGAGGGTAATGAGCAGGCTAGAGGAACAGTGTAAATGAAGACTCTAAGGCAAAAAAAAAAAAAAAGCATGTTTATTTAGAGGAAGTAGAGGATGTCAATTTGGCCGGAAGACACGGGTCAGGGGAAGAACAATGAGGGGTGGGTCTGTAGAGTAGACAAGGGCCCGGTCACCCAGGACCTTAGAGGTTATGCTAAGGATTCTGGTCTGTTTTTTCTTGTAAGAGCAATGGGAAGCTCCTGGGAGATTTTAAACACAGGAAATAACATGGTAGGTGGTTGATAAATGGTAGCTCTGTCACTGATCTATTTGACCAGATGGCATATAATAGAAACTTTTCAAGACCTGTTGGAAACACTTCCAATATGTCTTCTGCTCCTCAGTGAAGTTAAAACTTTCTATAGAGCAGGATACAAGACCAATATACAAAACTCAATTGTGTTTCTATACATTAGCAATGAACAATCTGAAAATGAAATTAAGGAAACAATTCCATTTACAATAGAATCAAAAAAATAAAATACGGGCTTCCCTGGTGGCGCAGTGGTTGAGAGTCCGCCTGCTGATGCAGGGGACACAGGTTCGTGCCCCGGTCCGGGAAGATCCCACATGCTGCGGAGCGGCTGGGCCCGTGAGCCATGGCCGCTGAGCCTGCGCGTCCAGAGCCTGTGCTCCGCAACGGGAGAGGCCGCAGCGGTGAGAGGCCCGCGTACCGACAAAAAAAAAAAAAAAGCTAAGGAAAACAAACACATAAAAAAAACACCTTGCAATAGCTGCTAGCTCCAGTGAGTAAAATCCTTCCTGTTGCTGACAACAGTGTAAATGTCCCAATGTATAAATGAGGTGGCACTTTTTCCAACAGGATAAAAAGCTCATTAAATTATCACCATGGATGCACATGCCAGTTACTACTAGAGCAGAGACTGTAAAGGTTCACATTTTTATCTATTATTCACCTTCTGTTTGCACATTATTTTTGGCCTCATTTTCCATAGTTTCCGGAATGAAAGAATTATCAATCCCTCAACAGCAGTTGATAAGCAGAAAGCAAAAGAGACCTTACCTTTCCTGTTAGGTGGCCTTTTCCTTGTTCCATACCCTTCACCACATTTAATAAAAATGAGTTTGGATTTATATTTGTCCTTTAATATATCCGCTAATCAAGTGAATCATACAAGATAAACATATACCAGTTCTGGGAAGAGAGATCTCATTTTATAAGCTTATACAAGCAAATGATGATGGAACCTTTAAGAGACATTCTGATTTAACTCCTAGGTCTACTTTGAAAATATGAGGTTCTTTTAATTCATATTTCCTAGTATAATTTGTATTATTATTATTATAGTCACAATTTAAATGTAGGCCACTTACAGTTGCTTGAGAAATAATAATAATAATATGATATCAGGACATGCTTTGAAAACAATCTGGAGGAAAATACACCAACTGTTAATAGTGGTTCTCTAGCAAAAAGAGATAAGAGCAGACTTTCACTTTCAACATTATTTAACACTGTATGTTATTTTTATTCCAAGGGGGAGAAAGCAATAAAGAGATTTTAAAGTAGGAAAACATTGAAACATTGAAATATTTCAGTCAGTAAGAGACAAAGAGTTCCCCTTCTTCAAATATTCAAATGTCTTTGAAGCCTGCAAATCAATAACAAAAATACCATTTCATGGGTCCTTAATTTAGTTTGAAATCCCTTTCTTCAGGCTCAAAGAGAAGTTAATAAAGCATTGGCCTGAAACCACTACTGTTATGTGCACATAGGACTGGCATGAGTACCAGCCAGAGGCTTTTGATCTCAGTGACACAATTTCTATAGCACAACCAGTCCTGCCTACATCACCCACAACTGCAGAGCAAAGATCTCTAAAAGCCTTAGATTTAGATTTTTTTTTAATGAGAGTGAGAACGATCTAATGTTTACTTACAAAAAGAAAACTATCCCATTTTGTTAAATTTTTATCTTGGAATGCTGCGTAAAAACAAGAAAAGAAAGTCCACTGACTCATAATTGCCAACATTCATTGAGTTCTTCCTACATGCAAGATACATCATTTAATCCTCACAGGAGACACATGAAGTAATAATATGCTATTAGTCTACCCATTCTACCTAGGAGTATGTTGAGGCTCAAAGAGTTTGCCCAAAATGAACTAGCTCATAAGTGGGAGCTAGGAGCAATCCAGACAGACAAACCTGTGTTCATATCTACTACTCCGTCATGCTACCAAATCAGTCATTTCAGTGGCAGCGGTTGAGACTACATTTAGCAAAACAAAAAAGTGTATATACAAGTTTAATTTCTTCTACCTGCAGTTTTTCTAAAGGCTTAGCCTTTCACCTTAATGAAATATGTTTCAAAATCTATCCAATATATTCTGGATTTCAGTCAAGCTAAAATCAGCATCAGGGTGAATTTTTGTTTCACATTTTAAAATATTTTTATAAGTAACCTTAACCCTTCTCCAAGTGTATAAAGAACCACTTAAAATTTCAGAAAGCCATATTAATCCAAATTAAGTAAATGGATGCTTAAACAGATTTCAAAGCAATTTCTACCCAAAGGTTGAATCATCTATCTACTGCAAGCCTTACAAGGGAAGATATTGATGTCTGTGTACCTTTTCATTTTAAACAATATTTACACAGTCCAGTGTTTCTCTGAACAAGAAGCCTTGTGGTAGCCCGTACATGAAAACTCCCAGCACTATGGCAACTAGAATGGCAATGATTGCACAATGATTCATCATGCATCCTGAATAGAAATTGTTTGCTGGGGACAGAAAAACAACTCAAAGCCATGCTTCACTGGAGAGGAACCCAGTTAAAGAATAATCTGTGGTGGTGGGTTTTTTAAGTGTTTATCAAATTTTTATACTTTTATGCTAGGACATCTATCTTAATATTAACTCTAGTTTAGAGAGGTAATTCATATGTCTCCTACAGAAATGTTCACGAATTCATTCTTTCATCATTCAAGAAATTATGTGCACAAAGTAGCTGTCCTCCACTGCAGGTGCTGTGCTAGGTGCAAGGCATACCACTTTGAATGAGATAAGCAGGAAGCCAGGCTCACTGAGCTTCCAGTACAACTAATAAGCAAATTGTCAACAAGAGGACAATATGATACACAGTTGGCCACCTGACGTACATGTAGGGTGCTCTGGGTAGCTGGGGCACACATAAATCCCAGAGGAAGTGATGGCTAGGCTGAGACCTGACTCAGGAGCATGACCCAACCAATCAAAAGCAGGGCAGGGAGGTGGGCAGGCCTCAGGAATGTTCCAGGCAGAGAAAGCAATAGGTATAAAGGTCTAAAGAGTGGAGAGCAGGGCACATCAAGGAACCAAGGTAGTTGTGAGTGGCTGAAACATGGGGTTGTAAGCGTGGTGGTGGAGAGAAAATGAGGATAGAGAGATAAGTGGGGGGAGCACAGCATGAAGGGGCTTGTACCTAAAGGCCCAGCAATGGCAAAGAATGAACTATCGCTACACGTACAATACGGGTAAATATCACAGACATAAGGTAAAGCGAAAGAAGCTACACGCCAAAGAATACATACTGTATGATTCCATTTACATGACATTCAAAACTAGGCAAAACTAATCAATGATGATAAGATCCAAAAATGGGAGAGGGTGCTGACATTGAACAGGACATGAAAAGGGACTTTCCCTGGGGTGGTGGAAATGTCCTACATCTTCATCTGGGCAGCAGTTAAACTGGTTATATGTGGACAAAAATTTATCAGGTTTACACTTATGATTTGTTCACATTGCCTTAATAAAAAAGGAGAGGAAATTCCCTGGTGGCCCAGTGATTAGGATTCCATGCTTCCACTGCAGGGGGCCTGGCTTCAATCCCTGGTCAGGGAACTAAGATCCTGAAAGCCATGTGTCGTTGCCAAGAAAAAGGAGGAGGGTCAAATGAGCAGAAATAATAGTTAAGTATCTAACAAAAGATGACCTCATACATTGGAAAATGACTTGTTTATGCAAATCAAAGGGATCAATGATTTCTAGAGAAAATTAATTAAGAGATTTACGATAAGGGAAAAATTTTTTTTAATGAAGAGGGGTTGGGTCTTACCATTTGTGAAATATGGAGTTATAGAAAGGTCTTGATCAATATTTTCCTTATAGAAAAATCATATGTATACACATACTATACACATACCTATAGTATACACATATAGTAAACATAGTCATCAAATTTAAGATAGTATTACCTACCCTGAGGGTAAAATCAGGGTAGGAATACACAAGAGATTTCAACTGCACTGGTAAAGTTTTAAGCTGTGTGATACACACATGAGCATTTGTTATAGTATTCTTTGTACTGTTTTGTACATATTAAATCTTTCATTCCTTTCCATAACGAGAAAGAAAGACCACTATTTGCAGTGTGAAGCAATTAAAGGAGTCCTGTAAGGATTCAGGCGTGAAATGATAGTGGCTTACCTACTGCAGCCTGACCAACTGAATGAATGGTGGTGCCATTTATTGAGATGGGGAAACATAGAAAAATGGGCATGATTTTAAGAGGTGAGAGGAGGATGAATAACGAGTCCAGTTTTTGACAGTGACTTTGAATTGTCTCCAAAAGGAGATTTCCAAGAAGCAGTTGAAGCTACAGTCTGAAACTGAGGAATGAGAACTGAGTCAAGGATAGATTGGAGAGCCATCAACAAATAGCTGATGATTGAAACCACAGACTTGGACAAAACTCCACAGAAAAAATGGGGAGTAAACCCAGAAGAGAGTTTAGAAGGGAACCTTAGGACAGAAGAGAAGGAAGTCACAAAGGAGACAGAAAGAGCAGCCCAAGAAGTAGGAGGAAAAGCATAAGGGCCTATGTATGCTGGTAGCTAAGAAAAAGGAGTGTCAAGAAGGTGAGCATGGGGCTTCCCTAGTGGCGCAGTGGCTGAGAGTTCGCCTGCTGATGCAGGGGACACGGGTTCGTGCCCTGGTCCGGGAAGATCCCACATGCCGCGGAGCGGCTGGGCCCGTGAGCCGTGGGCACTGGGCCTGCACGTCCGGAGCCTATGCTCTGCAACGGGAGAGGCCCCAACAGTGAGAGGCCCGCGTACCGCAAAAATAAAAAAGAAGGTGAGCATGGTCAATGGTGCCAAATTCTGATGCAAGCTCAGGGAAGGTAAGGACTACAATGTGGACCATTGAATTTGGCAGCCAGGAAGTCCTTGGTGACTATTACAAGAACTGTTTCCCAGAAAGGTGAGGAGAAAGTCAGACTGGGATAAATTGAAAAGGGCAGAAGGGAAGTAGAGATACCAACTGTGGACTTCTTTTTCGGGAAGTTTGGCTCTAAAGGGAAGGCAGGAGATAGGGAAGGAGCAGGAGGGCGACAGGTTAAGGAAGGATTATTGGTTTGCTTGTATTTTTTTCAAGCTGAGATACACAAAAGCATTTATGTATAAATTTACGATCATGAAATGTAAAATATTATAAAGAAAAAACAAATGTACGAATATATTATTATATAATATATATGGACCTATTCAGGTCTTCAAAATGAAGAAAACACAGCAAGGTTCTCATCAAGACAGCCACCTGGTTACAAACATATTTAAGTCGTGTTAACATTTGAGAACTAGTGAAATAAAGCATAAACTGGACAAATTTTAAACCATGAAGCAGAACATTATAGCAGAAAGATAAATGAATATCAAATGACTACTGTTGGAAAAAAGACCCTACCCAATTCCCTCCTCACCTTCCATCTGATAGTGCAAAAGCATTCTTTGGCATTGAATGAAAGAATAATTTTGAGTGTAAATAGATAAAAGAAAATGAATTTACTATTAAAGCCTTTTTAGATCTCTATGCTATACATTTTCATGAGAAAAGCCATTATTAAATACTTACCAGCTTTGGAGTTTTCAGGATGCTTGTCAGGGTGACATTCCAGGGCCCTGACCTTAAATTCTGCCAGGATTTGTTCAGCCTAAAACAAAAATCAATGTTTAAAATAAGGAATCCAGGGCTCCCCTGGTGATGCAGTGGTTGAGAGTCCGCCTGCCGATGCAGGGGACACGGGTTTGTGCCCCGGTCCAGGAAGATCCCACATGCCGCGGAGCGGCTGGGCCCATGAGCCATGGCTGCTGAGCCTATGCATCCGGAGCCTGTGCTCCGCAACAGGAGAGGCCACAACAGTGAGAGGCCCGCGTACCACAAAAAAATAATAATAAATAAATAAATAAATAAAAGGTACAAACTTCCAGTTATAAAATAAATAAGTACTAGAGATGCAATGTACAACACGATAAGTATAATTAACATTACTGTATGTTATATATGAAGGGTGTTAATGAAAGTAAATCCTAAGACTTCTCATCAGAAGGAAAAAAATTTCTATTTCTTTAATTTCATATTTATGTAGATGATGGATGTTCAGTAAACTTACTGTGGTAATCATTTCATGATGTATGGAAGTCAAATCATTATGCTGTATACTTCAAACTCATACAGTGCTATATGTCAATTATATCTCAATAAAATTGGAAGGAAAAATTTTTCACAATTTTTAAAAAAAGGGTAAACCTGATAATTTTGTTACCAATAAACAGTTTGGTTAGAGATTTTGATTGGGAAAACAGAAACTTCAACCCAAACTAAAATGAGGTTTGAGGGCCATTTATGATTTTATTTGATTTCACTCACCCATCTAATCCTTATTATCATGAATTATCAAGACTTGGCTTCATTAATTATGATTGCAATGTCAACAGCAGGATACAACAGTGGTTATGTGGCTCTTGGATTCTGATTACTTTGTTTTAAATCCCAGTTCTGCCCTGAGACTTTAGGCAAGTTGTGTAATTTCTATGTGCCTAGGTTTCCTCGTCTTTACATTTCATGAATAAGTCGAGCACTTAACACAAAGCCCAATCACAGTAAGAACTCAGTAATAGTAGCTATTATTAAATGTCAGTCGTTAAGTAACTTGAACTCATTTAGCTTATTACTATAAAAGCTGAGTTTTTTGTTAACTAAGCAGATGGAATTCAAATCCAATAATCATAACCACTGTTTTATGTGGCCAAATTCTTCAGACTTAGGGACCTATTATCAAGTACTATATTTACTATACATGAATTAATGAAAGCAAATTGCCTCTTGTTTGAGAAATGAATTCTCAAGCAGTTCAGCTCAGTATTGTCAGAAGATTCATGGGAGAAACATTTTTATCAGCTCCACGTCATCCTTAATCAATTCTCATTAAAAAATCTTCACTTTTACAATCAAAGACAGGCTGTATTAGATATGAGTATGTTTAAAGCCCAGACTGATATCTCTACTCTTTTCCATGTTAAGCATGTACTGGGAAACACTTGGAATAACAGGAAGAGATAGATTTCCTAGTAAGAACTGTAATTAATTATGTTTCCTCTTCCTGGGTGCTCCCTTTACCCCTTAGTCACCATAACCTGCTAATAGAATGAAGAAAATTGAGATTGGGGCTCGTTTTAAAATTTTAAATATTAAATATTTTAAAGAATCTAGTAGTAAGAATTTTTTTCTTTTTTTGCGGTATGCGGGTCTCTCACTGTCGTGGCCTCTCCCGTTGCGGAGCACAGGCTCCAGACGCGCAGTCTCAGTGGCCATGGCTCACGGGCCCAGCTGCTCTGCAGCATGTGGGATCTTCCCGGACCAGGGCACGAACCCGTGTGCCCTGTGTCAGCAGGCGGACGCTCAACCACTGCGCCACCAGGGGAGCCCTAGGAGTAAGCATTTTTAATTAACAAGTAATTTATGAATACTCACGAACTCTCTTTGAAAAAATTTCTGTCAATACAGAATTTCTTTAAAAAACCTTTACTCCTTTTCCCCTAAGATAACAGAATCCTTCAAGACACATTTTTACACACTTATATACATATTTATGTATATATTTTGGGGGGATTTAATAACACAAATGGATAAAATTATACCTATCAAAGGTAGAAAGTTTGGAGTTTTTGTTGTTGTTTTATTTTTTTAATTCCTATCCCATCTTTAAAAATTAAGAATAATCCATATCTGTCTTTCATTACTTTTCATAGTTTTATTGTCACAAAGTTTATCACAAATCTCCTATGTATGGCTGGTTCTGGGTAAACTAACCAGTAAAGAGGCTTAGTTTGTCTTGGGCATGTTCTACTTATCTCCTGGCATCACCACCCCACTTGCCTGGTGCCAAGTGTGGCCCATGGACAAGTGAAGCCCTCCATGTCAAGGTCCACTGAATCTTGCCTTCCACACCCAATGTCCAATGGTCTGGAAAGCTGCCTACCCTATTGGCCAATAAACATACCAAAAAGGTTCAACTTTACTCATAATTAAATAAATCAAAACATCCACGGGATGATCATGACCAGTGTCACTGAGGGTGCAAAGAAATGAACTCTCTCATGCTTTCCTGGTGAGGACGTAAATGGTGCAGATTTTCTGGAAATCAATTGGGATATACACATATATAAAAATCCTTGGGAATTCCCTGGCGGTCCAGTGGTTAGGACTCCATACTTTCACTGCAGAGGACCCTGCAGTTCCCTAGTCGGGGAACTAAGATCCCACAAGACAGGTAGCACGGCCAAAAAAATAAATTAAAAAAAATTTTTTTAATCCTGTATTTTTTTTCATACTCTTTGATTCAACAATTTCAATTCTAGGAATTTGGCTAAGAGGATAATGAGAGGTATGAAATGGATTTAGTTATAAGAAAGTTCAGGGGCTTCCCTGGTGGTGCAGTGGCTGAGAGTCCGCCTGCCGATGCATGGAACGCGGGTTCGTGCCCCGGTCCGGGAAGATCCCACATGCCGCGGAGCGGCTGGGCCCATGAGCCATGGCCGCTGAGCCTGCGCATCCGGAACCTGTGCTCCACAATGGGAGAGGCCACAACAGTGAGAGGCCCGCGTACCGCAAAAAAAAAAAAAAAAGAAAAAGAATCCACCTGCCAATGCAGGGGACACAGGTTCGAGCCCTGGTCCGGGAAGATCCCACATGCCGCGGAGCAACTAAGCCAATGCGCCACAACTACTGAGCCTGCACTCTAGAGCCAGCGAGCCACAACTACTGAGCCCACGTGCCACAAATACGGAAACCTGTGCACCTAGAGCCCATGCTCTGCAACAAGAGAAGCCACCGCAATGAGAAGCCTGCGCACCGCAACGAAGAGTAGCCCCCGCTTGCCGCAACTAGAGAAAGCCCGCACGCAGCAACAAAGACCCAATGCAGCCAAAAATAAATTCATTAAGTAATTAATTAAATTAAAAAGTTATACATTTTAAACAAAAACCTATGTGCCTAGTAATAGGATATTTGTTAAAGTTAATTGTAATATAGCTTTAAGATGGGATACTTTGCAGTCATTAAATAATCTTTTAGTAGAAGACAATAATCTGAGAAATTTTATATAATGCATTCTATGAGAAAAGGTAAGCTACAAAGTATTATGTACGGTATAAAACCTTAATGTTTTCTCAAGAGGAATTATGTAACATGTGAATATGTAAAATAAAGATAATGATAATAATAGCTAAGATTTATTGAGACCTACTCTGTGCCAGGCCCTGTTCTAAGTACTTTATATATAGCATCTCATTTAATTCCCACAGCAACTCTATGAGGTGGGTAATATTATTACTCCCATTTTGCAGATTAGGAAACCAAGACATAGGAAAGTTAAGTAATTTTCCCAAAGTCATGGAGCTACTAAGTGGCAAAGCCAGGATTTCAACTCAGACAGTCTGACTCCAAACACATACAAAAATATACATATAAATATTTATACATATACACATGTACTTATTACATAATACATAAATACAGCATATATGTATGCATAATTGGCATGCCTATGTCATACTCCCAAACATTAAGCATTTTTCTCTGTGCTGTCTTCATACTCCTCATTTCTTTACTGAACATATATTAATTTTAGAAATTAAATTTTAAAACTTATCTTTTCCATATCCTAATAGCACAGTATTTTGCTCTGTGCCAGGAAATACTCGTGTGCAATAAGGACTAATTTGATTCCCACTTGAACGGATCTTCTCCAGCTTTTCCCTGGCCACACAAATGCCCTCTGACTCTCCCTCCATGCCTTTAAATTTTAACCAAGTAAGATCGTTTCATGCCCCATCTCTTCTCTGAAGTCTTCTCAGATATTGTTTCCTTAATTCCTGTTGCACTTATAAACAGTACCGCACAGCACAGTACTTATTTGTCCTGGAATTGTTTCCTGTGTATGAGCTTTGATTCTTCGACTGGATGCCAATTTCCTTACACACTCGCACCATGTCTCACTTTTTTGTTTTGTTCTCTCCGCATCATGTCTAGTACTGGACCAATGCCAAGTGTTGAATGAATGCTTGATTATAGACTGACAGATATTCTTCAAATAACATGACTGTAGTGTAATAGGAGCGTTCTGAAAATGTGATTTATTCATTAAAAGAATGCATTGATTCATGTGCTGGAAATGTATATGCTACAGAATATGTTGCAGAAAAGACAAGACCCATTTTAATAAGTGGGTTAACATCCATCATTTCGATTTACTTAGTTTGAAACTGGATTTTTCCCACAAAACGCCCGATATTAGTAATATCCCTGAAATAGATTTCATTAGAGGTCATCTTACATCATTCTAATGAAATGATAATTAATTAACATGTGCTATAGAAGTGATTTGAGCCATAAAATATACAATGGTAATACTGGGTTAAAATCCATAAAATACAATAACTATCTATTAATCCACAGTGACAAAAATAGTTGAATAAGTAAGTAAATGTGGGAGAAGGGGTAGCTTTTCTTTACAGAAGAATTCCAAGTAATAAATGTAAATGGATGAGGAAAATAGAAAGTCACCATTAGGCAAACACCATAACAGTAACTCTTATAGGCAAGATTCCCTAAAGGATGCTAAAATCAGTGGGTGAACGTTTGAGGAGAAACACTCTGGTCTCAAAGAACTGTCACCAATATATTTGTTAACTACAAAAGGGAAAATAGTAACCCTACACTGCAAAAACCTGGCAGAAGAAAGCTGACAGACACATCTTAACCAAATGATCAAGGTTAATAACACATATTACATCAGGTACCCCTGAAATGATGCACTGGGAAAGGCACACCATCACTTCTGGGGTGTTCTTTCCAAAAACACATAAACTCACTCTAATCGTGGGAAAAGATCAAGCAAACCAAAATTGAGGGACATTCTACAAAACAACTCACCACTACTCTTCAAAGTGTCCAGGTCTTGAAAGACAAGAAAGATATGAAAAATTGTCATTTTGGAGGAAAATAAGGGAACCAGACAACTAAGTACAATAAAGGATCCTGGCTTGGATCTTGGAAGAGAAAACGGGCATTAGTAGAAAAATTGATGAAATTGTAAGGAGCCCTATACTTTAGATCAGGGGTTGACTAACTCTGGCCCACAGCCCACATCTGGCCCACCACTTGTTGTGTTGGTTTTTTGTTTTTTTTTTTTGCGGTACGCGGGCCTCTCACTGTTGTGGCCTCTCCCGTTGCGGAGCACAGGATCCGGACACGCAGGCTCAGCGGCCATGGCTCACGGGCCTAGCCGCTCCATGGCATGTAGGATGTTCCGAGACTGGGGCACGAACCCGTATCCCCTGCATCGGCAGGCGGACTCTCAACCACTGTGCCACCAGGGAAGCCCCCACCTGTTTTTAAAATAAAGTTTTATTGGAAGACAGCCACGGTCATTCATTTACATGTTATCTATAGCTACTTTCTCACAATGGCCGAATTGAGTGGTTGTGGCAGAGACCATAAATCCTGCAAAATCTAAAATATTTGCTATCTCAGGGTCAGCACCAAGATGACACACACAGGGACTTCTGTGGCGGTCCAGCAGTTAAGACTCTGCCTTCCCAATGCAGGGGACACGGGTTTGATCCCTGGTCAGGGAACTAAGATCCTGCTTGCCACACACACAAGAAAAAAAATTTAAAAAGACAAGCAGGACACCTGGGTTTAAGGAAGTACTCACTCTCTCTCAGGTCTCTGCACTTGCAGAAACCCTGAGAGTTAGTGCCTCCTTAAATTGTGCATCATAAGCACTCTGCTTGCCTCACCCTAGTGCTGACCCTGTCTATCTGGTCCTTTACAAAAAATGCTTGATGACCACTGGTTGAGTTAATACTATTGTACCAATGTTAATTTTCTGATTTTGATAATGGTACTACCATTAAATATGATGTTAACATTAAGGAAGCTGGGTGAATTGTATACAAGAACTCTATTATGTTTGCAACTTTTCTGTAAGCCAAAAATTATTCCAATATAGATGGAGCACAGAGGATTTTTAGAGCAGAGACACTACTCTCTATGATACACTATGATAAGGTGGTTAAATGTCATTATACACTTGTCCAAACCCACAGAAAGTACAAACCCAAGAGTGAACCATAATGTAAACTGTAGACTTTGGGTGATGATGATGTGTCAATGTAGGTTCATCAGTTGTAACTCTGGTGGGAATGTGGATAATGGGAGAAGCTATGCATCAGTGGAGGGGGCAGGTATATGGGAAACCTCTGTATCTTGCCCTCCATTTTGCTATGAACCTAAAATTGCTCTTCAAAAACTTCTATTAAACATCATTTCAAAATAAAATATTTTAAAAATAATGTGAATTATAGAATAGAATGGGGACTTCCCTGGTGGTGCAGTGGTTAAGAATCTGCCCGCCAATGCAGGGGACACAGGTTTGAGCCCTGGAAGATCCCACATGCCGCGGAACAACTAAGCCCGTGCGCCACAACTACTGAGCCTGTGCTCTAGAGCTTGCGAGCTACAACTTCTGAAGCCTGCACACCTAGAGCCCGTGCTCCGCAACAAGAGAAGCCACTGCAATGAGAAGCTCGTGCACCACAAGGAAGAGTAGCCCCCTCCTGCAGCAACTAGAGAGAACCCACACGCAGCAACGAAGACCCAGTGCAGCCAAAAATAAATTAATTAATTGATTTTTTAAAAATAGAATAGAATGAATTTATGAAGTTCCAAGTGTACAGTGTTACTGTGAGGCCAAAACAACTCCCTCAACCACGACAACTTACTATATGCCAGGCACCATTCTAAGCACCTTATGTATCATGTCTCATTTAATCCCAACAACACCTCCATGAGGTGAGTACTATTATTATCCCCATTTGCAGATTAGGAAACCCAGCCCTAGAAAAGTGAAATAATTTTCCCAAGGTCACATAGCCAATAAATGGTTAAGATTTAAACCCAGGTGGTCTGAAGTCAATAAGAAAGAGAACTAGAAAAAAAATAATTGTTTCTATTTATTGAGTTTATGCTCAGTTTTCAAGTCCATGAAATCTTGAAATGGGAAAGTCTTATTACTACTGAAATGTTGACCAGATACTAAAAAATCAATTAAGATCCACACCCAAGAGGATGCCTTACATCACTAATGTGTGGTATATGCATCAATAAGGACTTCAGAAGATTTCATAGCATGCGTCTATGTAAAATCTGATATAGGGAGAAAAAGCTAACTGATTTGGGCTCAAATTTCAGTAAATGTTTTTGAACAGGGGGTATTTGTTTCCTACTTAACAGCATGGAAATCCTCCTGTGGCCTCATATATGTCATTTAGTTAATTTCCAACACACGCTTTAAAGTGTAAGAACTGTATACTAAAGCAAAGAATTATGTGTGTATCTAACTCAATTGTTGTAAGTGGAATCAAAATATCAAGCTGCTTTGAAATTATAACTGCTAAATTGCCCTTGGATAGGAACAGTTCTGGTTAATTTTTTAGAGCATCAGATCAAGGAATATTTGAAGTAAAGAAAATCCATGCAACACAATTTAAGTAAAGGAAATGTCATAGTAATACTCAAAAAAAAGGCATTAAAATATTTTTCAGTGAGAAGGATACATATAAAAAGAGGGGAGAGGGGAATTCCCTGGCAGTCCAATGGTCAGGACTCCGCCCTTCCACTGCAGGGGGCACGGGTTTGATCCCTGGTCAGGGAACTAAGATCCCGAAAACTGAGCAGTGTGGCCAAAACAAAACCAAAAAAAAGGCGGGGCGGGGGGGAAGATATATATAAAAAGAATCGACAAGATTGTGACAGGTCATTGCATTTTAAATAAATGACTGTTACTTACACATACTATGCCATTGACAGAATTAGTAAAATACATCCAGAAGAAGAAGGAATGTCAAGACAAGGGGATATTACAACCTTTACTTTATAACCTAGCATGACAATATTTTTTATAAATCCAAATCGTGAAACTTTTCAAATTAAATTATGTTCCTTTGATTCAAATAGTTCCTTCAAAAATTATCTGGCAAGAGTATAATCCAAAGTATGAATAACACATAATAAGCTTTCTCAGTTGCTCTAAGTGTGTTGAACTACAAGGTACCTAAGATAACTTCCTTAGGGTGACGAAATTAGAGATAATCCTTTGTGTCCAATATTATTCTATTCTCCAAACAAACTGAAGTACATTTTATTACTTAACTCCAGCCCTATGAAACAAAAATGAATAGAAAAATAATTTTCTTTAAAATATTTTAATATTAATAGCTATATTTTAGTAATAAAATAAAATAAATATTTTAATACTTGTTATATAAATATAAAATAATATGAACATATTTAATAATATAATTGAAATATATTTCATATTCATCTCAATATTTAAAATATTAAAAAACTGTAAATAAATGAAATGTTTAACAATAAGAGAATAACCAATTGTGGTACAATAGTAAAATGAAATATGCAATCATTAACATATATCTGAAGAATCTTTAGTAGCCTGGAGAAATCCTTGTTATAATGTTAACAGATAAAAAGCGAACTTGTCTTCAAAAATACATATATAGGAAAAAGACTGGTGATTAATATACCAGACATTAATAGTGTTACCCTTGGGAGGTAGAATTATAAATGAGCTTTCCATAATTTAAAAAACTTTTACAACCTTATAATTATCTACGGGGACTTTTAAAAACATTGTTCCATTATAGATCAAGTGAACAATTACAGAGTTTTCACACATTTTGTTTCAGAAGCCAGACTTTAAAGTAATTCCTCTCACACAATTTGAAATATTAACATAAAACGATGTTTCTTGGTTTATATGATTTAACTGCTCACATAAAACTACATATTTTAATAAAACATTTTAAAATCACTAATTACTAGAAAATTACATCTCATCTCAATTACAGTGTAAATTACCATAATAAAGAAATAGCTTATGTATACTATGAAACACTGCCAATAGCAATTACAATTAAATTTCAAATATGTATTTTTAGTATATTTGAAATAGTCTATGGCCATGTGACAGAATACACATATTCAATCAGAAGCTTCCATAAAACTGAAAAAGGACATTATTCAAGTAAAGACCCAGCACATATTTAAGTCTTTAACTTTCTCTGAGGCAAAAGTGCTTTAAAATAATACAAGATTAGATTTTTAGGCAACGTAAGTTCCAAATTAAAACCTTAAATAAAAACTTGAAATACTGTTGTGAAAAAGAACGGCATTATTCACTGCCTTACCGAAGACAGTTCATCACATCCCAGTAACGTGTAGTAATCTTCAGTATCTTCCAACCTGTAATTCAGTATCGCGTCCATTTAGATTACTAAATCAGCTTTTCTTCCCTCTGAAACAAGAGGCACAATGAACTGCGAATTAACAGGAAAAGCCTTATGAGGTCTGGTTTACAGCTGCGCGTTCCAAACGACAATAACTAGATTTAAGTCTGGCCACAGTCAACACACCAGATGTCATCCTAGACCTTTGTAAACTCTACCTTTCATTGGCTGTTTATACAAGAGAAAAGAATAGCCCACGAGCAGAACTGTTGCAGTGCTGCCTGGGATCTGTAGTTTGAATTTATGTAAGCGACGTAGATGAACCATTCCTCTCATGAGTCGACAAAGACTGTCCATTTTTACACACTCCCCAAATTGGCCATCTCTTCATCTCCTATATATTTTTATCCTTTTCCATTTTTTTTAAGGGATAGAAAAAAAATTGAAGCATTATGGTAAAATCTTAGTATTTGTTAAATATGAGTAGTAGGCGCTTTTCTGAGTGTTTACAGTATTTCATAAGTTTTAAAATAGTTTAAGAGTAGAAAGAAATAGGCTAAGAAAGCAAATTTGTATTCATTTGACAATCTATTCATTCAATAAATATTTATTGAGGACCATTTTATGTTCAGCACAATTGTAGAAAAAGGTGTGGTAAACAAGTCTCTGTTTTTAGGGAGCTTACATTCTGACAGAGGGAGTCAGACAAGACACATGCAAACAAAGAGGATTATTTAAAATAGTGATTTGTGTCACAAAGGAAATAAAATATGCCAGTGAGAAGGAGAACTGTATGATGACGGGTCTGATCACTGTGCCATTTCTCCTGGGCTGGCTCTCTCCACACTCAGGAGTGTGTCTGGCCTAGGGTGGGTCCAGGGTGCCTGTACAATTTCAGTTCACTGTGGCCCTAAGAAATGCAAGATTTAGAGAAGAAAGTGAGTGGTCAGGGATACATTTTAACTGCCTTAACCCTTTAAATGCCTCCATAAACTATTGCCTTAAAAAAATACTTTTTCATTGAGCTCACAAATATACATATTTTTTAAGGTTTATTTCTAAAGAGAAATCACTGAAGTCCCATTTTTACTAATCCTTCATTATATTTCATTTCTTGCAGAAAGTTTGGTGTGGAATTTTAAAACGAAGTACAAATTTCGTTTTGGAAATTTCACAACCCTTGAGGTATTTGGAGGCCCATTTGGGCATCACAAAATCCTGACCAGAATAACTAACAAATGGCCTTAAAAGGATATGAAGTTACAGCTATGAAAAACAGTGGTGATTCCTCAATAAATTAAATATAGAATTACCATATGATCCAGCAATTCCACTTCTGGTATGCCCAAAAGAATTGAAAAAAGGAACTCAAACAGATATTTGTACACCTATGATCATAGCATCACTATTCACGATAGCCAAGACATAGAAGCAACCCAAATGTCCATTAACAGAAGAATAAACAAAATGTGGTATATACATACAATGGGATATTATTCAGCCTTAAAAGGGAAGGAAATTCTGACACATGCTACATGGATGAACCTTGAAGACATGCTAAGTGAAATAAACCAATCACAAAAGACAAATTCTGTATGGTTTCACTTATATGAGATACCTAGAGTAGTCAAATTCATAGCGACAGAAAGAAAAAGAGAGGTTACCAGGAGGCTGGGGGGAGGAACAAATGGGGAGTTACTGTTTAATGGGTATGGAGTTTCAGTTTGGGAAGATGAAAAAAGTCCTGGAGTTGGATGGCGATGATGGTTGCACAACAGTGTGAATATTCTTAATGCCATTGAACTGTACGCTTAAAATGATTAAAATGGTAAATTTTATGTTATATATATTTTACCACAATCAAAAAGAAAAGTTATATCCCTTGAACACTAGACAACCTTGCCCAGAAGAACAAGTTTGCTGCCATTACTCCCTATCCTGAGAACAGGCAGGACAATGCTTTGATGTTTTTCTAAAGAACAAAGAGAAAAGATGATTAAGAAAGGAATTTTGGTAAAGCAGCCACTCATGTTTTATTAAATGCAATGGAAGGCTCTTTTCCTAGACCAATATTGTTCTCACCTTCTGCATATTAAAGTTAGTAAAGAGTCCTAGACACCTTCAACATCTGCTGGCAGCAGGGGACTTCCCTGGTGGTTCAGTGGCTAAGTCTTTGCACTCCCAATGCAGGGAGCCTGGGTCTGATCTCTGGTCAGGGAGCTAGATCCCACATGCCTCAACTAAGATCCCACGTGCCAAAACGAAGATCACACGTGCTGCAACTAAGAACTGGCACAAATAAATAAATGAATATTTAAAAGAAAAATCTACTGGCAGCAGAAGAAATTGGTACATCCTTTCTGAAATGGAAATTGGCATTTCAAAAGTCAGAATTTTACGTAATGTTGTCTAGGCAATTCCATACCTAGGAATTTATGCAAAGATTATAATCAAGAATGTGTACAAAGATACAGCTGGTTATCTTTACCAAAACACAGTTACAGGGCTTCCCGGGTGGCGCAGTGGTTGAGAGTCCGCCTGCCGATGCAGGGGACGTGGGTTCGCGCCCCGGTCCGGGAGGATCCCACATGCCGTGGAGCGGCTGGGCCCATGAGCCATGGCCGCTGAGCCTGCGCGTGCAGAGCCTGTGCTCCGCAACGGGAGAGGCCACAACAGTGAGAGGCCCATGTACAGCAAAAAAAAAAAAAAAAACACAGTTACAATAATGAAAATTTTTTAGGAAAATTAAATGTCCAACGATCATTTAAATAATGATCCACAGTAGTACACCGTGTAGTCATTTTAAATGATATAGAAAAATATTTAATGCCTGGGAAATGTTCACACATTGTCAGATGAAAAAAAAAGGTTACAAACAATATGCATTATTATAAACATTCACTGAGCACTGAGACTTATGCACATTATTGGGTATAATTTAAAAAGGAAAAAAATATAAAAGTTAAGTTTTAGAAGTATGGTATGATTCCTGTTTTATAAATATACAGATCTTCCTCGACCCTTTACCGTGGGGTTACAACATGATAAACCCATCCTAAGTCAAAAATGCTTTTAACCTAAATTACTGAACACCATAACTTAGCCTAGCCTACCTTAATGTGCTCAAAACACTTACATTAGCCTACAGTTGGGAAAAATCACCTAACAGAAGCCTATTTTACAATAAAGTGTTGAATATTTCATGTAACTTATTAAATACTTATTGAGTATCATACCACATGTCGCTAGCCTGGGAAAAGATTCAAGTTCAAAGTATGGTTTCTACTGTTCGCATATCTCTTTTACACCATTGTTAAGTTGAAAAATCCTAAATTGAACCATTTTAAGTCAGGGACCATCTGTATATGGTATGTATATTTATAAAATATGCAAAAGCATATACACCAAAATAGACCAATTGTCACTAGGTAACAGGGTCACCTATTTTTATATTTATATTTATATTTCATTCTTTTTGCTCATCTACATTTGCTAAGATAAACATATAATACTCGAGTAATAAGAAAAAAGCAATAAAAAACAAGTCAGTTCATGTATACACTACCAAATGTAAAATGAACGGCTAGTGGGAAGCTGCTGCATAGCACAGGGAGATCAGATTGATGCTTTGTGACTCCCTAGAGGGGTGGGATAGGAAGGGTGGGAGGGAGACACAAGAGGGAGGGGTTATGGGGATATATGTATACATATAGCTGATTCACTTTGTTGTACAGCAGAAACTAACAACACTGTAAAGCAATTATAATCCAATAAAGATATAAAAAAATAAGTCAGTAAAAACTACAAAACACCAAACATCACATAGCTATTTACTGACTTAGTAGAGATGACAATTCAGAGGGCCCTATTCAAGAATTTGTTCTTCAGTTGGTTTGGTTTGGTTTGTTGCATGCTCTACTGCATGTAATAAGCCAATTTATTCACCCTTCGAAGCAGCTAACACTGTGCAGTGGGTTGAACAAAGAAGAACGAAGTGAATCCTGCCATCGCAGAGCTTCCCCTCTCACACGGGTCTTGGCCACTGGCAGGTCCAATTGTTGTCTCCTCTGAGTGATCCCTTACTTACAGGAATCACAGTGCAATGGAAACAATGCTGAACCCTGCTCCTTATTCCTTGAATAAAGCTATGCTTTAATCACCACACCTCACATACCAGAAAATTAATTTCGTTGAGAACACAAGATTAACTCAAATTAAGCTTTAGCACATTACATAATCAAATGCTAAATTGTGTGGTTTTGAGGGAAAATTTAAAAGAAATTCATAGACGCATTCACAAATTACATGGAAAAAAGGAGGAAGGGGCAAAATGCAAAAGCTGTCAAAGAGAGATGAAAATGTCCATAGTATGTTCAGGGAAAGGTGAGGAAAACAACTTTACATCAGAATGTGTTGAAAAGCCTTTAAGACTAGTGTTGAAGATGAGACCTGGGCCAGAATGTGGAGAGCCTTGATGATCAGGCCAAGAACACTGAGCGAGTGTGGAGGTAACAGGGAACTGCTGTAGTTTCTCAAGCATGTGACATGTTAAAAGTGAAGTTTTATGAAGATTAAATCTGGTGGCTGTGTGCATTTGAAGGAAGGAATCGCTGGAAAACAATGACAAATGTGGTTTAACCCTGAATTTGAATTTTATTTTAAATTTTATTTTTTTAATGGGCACTACATGCACATAGAAGAAAATTTTTTTTTGTTCTCTCTCTCTCTCTCCCTCTCTTGGCCACAAAACACACACACACACACACACACACACACACACACACACACTCTCCCTCTCTCTCTCTCTCTCTCTCTCTCTCTCTCTCTCTCTCTCTCTCTCTCTCTCTCTATATATATATATATATATATGTATATATATATATATATATATTTCTCTCTCTCTCTCTCTCTCTCTCTTTCTCTATCTCTATCCCTATCTATCTCTGTCTCTATCCACACACAAATCTTATTGGTTCTATTTCTCTGGAGAACCCTGACTAATACACCTGCAATTCTTTTCTTTTTTTTTATGTCTCATG